TTGGGGTTGGGGGGCCGAATGGAGGCGGGGCTGGCCATGGGGAGGGGCAGTGACTAGTAGGCCAGTGGCCCTGCAGCTGAATAGCATGGAGGTGCTGACCAGGGACCAGTGGCCTGGGGGAAGGGCCATGGGTGTTTGGCCAGCTAGTTCTGTCCCAGATTGGGTGGGGGAGCTGATCTGGGGTAGGGCCAGATGGAGGGAGGGGCTGCAGGCTGATCAAGGTGGTGAGAGCCCATCGGGGGTGGGGATGGCTTGGAGGAGGGGCTTCAGAAGATTGGCTGGCTGGCCCTGCCCCCTACTGGTGTGGGGAGGGAAATCAGAGGCAGGGCTGATCAGGGGGAGGGGCTGCTGGCCTATTGTGGTGGGGCAGGCTGATCAGGGGCCACGGGGATGGGCCACAGGAGGTTGGCCAGCTAGCTTCACCCCCTGATCAGGACAGTTAGCTGACTACAGTGGGCATCATAGCAATCTGTCATCGGTCATTCTGGTCATGATGGATGCTGGCTTTTTACATATATATACTAGAGGCCTGGTACACAAAATTTGTGGATGGGGGGGGGGGTTGTCCCTCAGCCCAGGCTGCACCCTTTCCATTCTGGGACCTCTTGAGGGATGTCCAACTGTCCTGTGGGATCAGGCCTAAATGGGCAGTTGGACATCCCTCTCAAAATCCAGAATTGCTGGCTCCCAACTTCTTGCCTGCCTGCCTGCCTTCCTGATTGCCCCTAACTGCCCTCACCTGCAAACCCACCCCCCCCCCCCGCACTCCCCCCCCCCCCACAACTGCTCTCTCCTGCAGGCCTGGGTCAGTTCCTCCCAGTGTACCAACAGCAATCAAGGCTTTACAACAAGACTGTGCACCCAGCCCACAAAGGGGTGCACCAAGAGTGTCCACTTCAGGTGATAGGAGAGGCTGAGCCACTGGGCTCTATAGGTGTTCACTGACTACAAGGAGGAAAATTGTCCCCTCAACCAGGAGTTCAACCTACCACACAAAGCCACTCCATCAACACAGGGAAAGAGCCAAAATTCGGAGACAAAGAAACATGTCACAAGTGGAAGAAATAGAGGAAAGCAAACTACTGGATATAGAGTTCAAAACCACAGTTATAAGGTTACTCAATAATCTAGAAACATCTGAGAAACTTAGTGAGACCTTCAAGGATATTTAAAAATATATATATTTTATTGATTTTTTACAGAGAGGAAGGGAGAGGGACAGAAAGTCAGAAACATCAATGAGAGAGAAACATCAACAAGCTGTCTCCTGCACCCCCCTCCCCACTGGGGATGTGCCTGCAACCAAGGTACATAGCCTTGACTGGAATTGAACCTGGAACCTTTCAGTCCACAGGCTGATGCTCTATCCACTGAGCCAAACCGGTTCTGGCAAGGATCTTAATGAGAGTGCCAAAAAAATGGAAAAGAAATTAAGCAAACACTGTCTGAAATAAAGAATAACATACAGAAATTCAACAGTACACTAGAAGACCCCAAGAATCAAACCAAAGATTTAAAATATGAGAAAGCAAAAAACACCCAACCAGAAAAAAAGAAAGAAAGAAAAAGAATAAAAAAATATGAAGATAGTGTAAGGAACCTCTGGGACAACTTCAAGCATACCAAAATCCAAATTATGGGGGTACCAGAAGAAGAGAGAAAGCAAGATATTGAAAACCTATTTGAAGAAATAATGACAGAAAATTTCCCCTACCTGGTGAAAGAAATAGACTTACAAGTCCAGGAAGTGCACAGAACCCCAAACAAAAGGAATCCAAAGAGGACTACACCAAGACACATCATAATTAAAATGCCAAGGGCAAAAGACAAAGAGAGAATCTTAAAAGCAGCAAGAGAAAAACAGTTAATTACCTACAAGGGAGCACCCATATGACTGTCAGCTGATTTCTCAACAGAAACAATGAAGGCCAGCAGGGAATGGCAAGAAATATTCAAAGTGATGAACAACAAGAACCTACAACTAAGATTACTCTACCCAGCAAAGCTATCATTTAGAATTGAAAGTCAGATAAAGAGTTTCACAGACAAGAAAAAGCTAAAGGAGTTCATCACCACCAAACCAGGATTATATGAAATGCTGAAGGGTATTCTTTAAAAAGAGGAAGAAGAAGAAAAAGGTAAAGATAAAAATTTTGAACAACAAAGTGACAACAAATACCTGTCTATCAACAAGTGACTCTAAAAATCAAGGGAATAAAAAATCTGATGAACAGAATAAACTAGTGAATATAATAGAATCAGGGGCATAGAAAGGGAGTGGACTGACAATTCTTCTGGGGGAAGGGAGTGTGAGGGGTGCAGGAAGAGATTGGACAAAAAGCTTATACTTATGGATGAGGAGGTAAGGGCATGGGATGGGAGTGGGGGGGGGGGATTGGGTGGAGGGGAGCCATGGGGAAAAAAAAGAGGAACATCTGAAATAATCTGAACAATAAAGATTTATTAAAAGAAAATAATCTCCACCAGGCTCCCTAGGGATTATGATGTGCTTCCCCATTCCCGCTTCCATGCCCTAAAGATAAATGAGGGGTGAGAAAGACAGAAACTCCCTTAGACTGTAGGCTTTACCTTCCTTTCCACACTTTGGGATCCTTTCAGGCACATTGTTATTATCCCATTCAGACCTCCACCCCACCTCAACACTTAACCCCCACCCAGACTCATTCCTTCTATTTTTGCTCTGGGGTCTTCCATCCTCTTCAAGAAAATTTCCATGCTCATTGTGAATAGTTTCTTAAGAATAAAATGTAGCTACCTTTTGAGGGCTTGCTATGCATGGTCCTTTACATACAGGACACATTATCTCCTGAAATCTCACACAGCCTTGCAAGGTAAGGAATATTCTATCCTTTCTGTGGATGAGACAAGACTTGCAGAAGTTGAACACCTTGCTCAACAAACTGAAAGGTGACAGAAGCAGGAATCATCAGCTCCTGCCTGGACCATCTGGCTCCAAAGCCTAAGCAGCTTTCCACTGCACTGTGCTTTGGCCAGTGGTGAGCGGGGTCAAGGAACATCTATTCTTGCTGGATTTATAGGAAGCAATGGTCCTCTACTCAGCACAGCTGTGCCTGCCTCAAAGCAGAGCTTCTCTGACTGCCTCTGCCTCATCTTTACAGCCAACTCCTTGCTTATAGTGGGTTTAGGCTTTGCTTTATTTTAAACATTAGCACTTTCTTTTCTTGATTGTTTAAAAAATTATTTAAAAATAAATTCTAGCACATTATTTAAAAATTCAAACAATACTGAAGCTCAAAAAGCAGAAGTGAAAAATATCACTTTATATAATCTCCTGGTTCCAGCTCTATTCTACAAATGTAGCTACTATGAGCCATTTGATGAATATTTTTTCAGACTTTTCTATGTGTATATCCTCTATGTATATAAAAGCCTAAGTGAGTGTTATGACAAGTTGGCTGAACGACCAGTTGCGATGATGTTCACTGACCACCAGGGGGCAGAGGGCAGACACTTAATGCAGGAGCTGCCCCCTGGTGGTCAATGTGCTTCTACAGTCAACCTCTGGCAGCCAGTCAACCTCCTACAGTCCCTTCTCTCCTGGCTGGCTGGCCCTGATGGGCCCCGATAGGGACTGGTCAAGACGGCCCCAATTGGCCCTGTAGGCCAGGCAAAGGGACCCCACCTGTGCATGAATTTGTGCACCAGGCCTCTAGTATATAATAAAAGGCTAATATGCAAATTGTCCCCTCGACCAGGAGTTCAACCGGGAATTCGACTGCCTGTCCCCCCAACAAATTGCCCCCCCCCCCCACTCCAATTGAGGGTGAGACTGGCCTGCCAACCACCCATAGCCCCTCCCTCCACCTGGCCTCAGAGGCCTGGTGCATGGAATTGATGCTCAGGTGCAGTTCTTAGGCCTGGCTGACAAAATGTGAGCATCTGCATTTGGCATGGAAGGGCAGGTCCCAGCTGACCTCTGGGCCCTGGGCAGCACCTGTGCCCCCGTGCCCCCGTACGCACACCCCTCTGTCTGAGTCCCAGCACCCAAGTCCACATGCGGAAATGCGGTGAGTGCAGCCGGCTGAGGCAGGCTGAGGCATGGGCCTCTGGGCTGCCCCGAAGCACTGCACAGAAGCCGGGCAGGCAGTGCACTCTCTCAGGGCTGGCCTCACAGACTGGCTCCTGTGTGAACCCACAGGGGGCCTGATCCACCCATGAAGTCCTGGAGGCTGTGGCCTGGCTCACCTGAAAGAGGCCATGCAGGTGCAGGGCAGGCTCCTTCTGGGCGCCCAGCACCTGAGCAGGTTTGGGGAGAAGGAGGATGCTTCCCTGGTGCTCAAGCCCTGGCATCCTGGGGGAGGGTGACAGGGAGAGTGAGAGCGAGCTCAGCAGACACCCCACATTCTCACTGCACCTCTGTCCTGTCACCCCCACCCTCAGGCAGCCAGTGAGGGGTCGCTGATGCCCGCCATGTTCTTCATGACCCCCTGGTGGTCAGCGCACATCATAGTGAGCCATCGAACTCCCAGTCAAGGGGACAATTTGCATATTAGTATTTTATTATATAGGATTGTGTGTGTGTGTGTGTGTGTGTGTGTGTGTGTGTGTGTGTGTGTGTAGGAAGCTTTTCTCACTTCTTAGAGTTGCCATATCTATGTATCTTTATTCTAAATCATTGTCTATTCCAAAGCATAAGCTGTAAAGAATAAGATAAATCTACTTTTAAATTCCTCTGCATAGGCTTGACTGAAGGAACATCTATTTTGCTGGATTTATAGGAACACTTGAATTGGAGAAAGGGATGGAAGGCAGGATCCCTGTGGAGAGCCCACGGTCACCGAGAGGGGAAGAGCCTGTGAGCTCCAGGGAGGAGTGTGTGCTGCAGAGAAGCTCACAGGCGGTCAGCCCGACCTGCCGGGGCGTGAACACACTCCACGGGCTGTGAAATCACTCACGTGTGAGCTGTCTGGTGCCAGGGGAAGGGGTTTGAAGAAGGGGAGGCAGGAGGGCAGAATGTGGGCTGGGCCAGTTTAGAATTACAAGTGCCACAGGGGAGTTGGAACCACACTTCAAATAGCCAGCACCTTCCCCTTCCCCCTTAGATAATTCTCCTCGCCGTGCCTGGACATCTGGCAGCAACTGCAAGAAGGTGAGTAACATTTTCTTCTCTTCTTTTTCTGTGTCTGGCTCTCAGACTGCAGGTTGGTGGCATCCACAGGATTTATAATCAAAGGGGTTTTTGATGCTCTCCTAGGAAATGCTTCTGACATTTACGGGTGCCCATGCAAAGAGTATATGCTATTTTCTTTACTTTCTGAAACTTCAGTGGTTGTTGACTTATGGGACAATGTGATTTGGAGAAAGAGAATCCTAGATTGAGAGGGAAGACATTTGGGTTTAATGCTAAGAAAATGAAGGCTTTCTTCTCTGTGAAACGAGTTAAGACAGAAGAACATAAAAAGTTTGATAGTATTGAAAGAAAATAAAAATTTAAATACCTGTGATTCTACTAAGTGATTTAATCCTTATAGCTAAGTATATCCTGTCATTCTCACTGTTACGGATGAGGGATGAGCAAAACAAGACTCAGAGTATTCTTTTTGCTGAAGTTAGGCAGTAAGTGAAATGGCTCAAAGCTAAAACCTGAATCCAGGCTTGTTTGACTCTATTCCTAAAGTCCTCTCAACTGCATGAGGCTCCCTCTGAGGAGCTGAACCCTAACGAGGCCAAGGAACCCAGGACAGGGCCACTGCTTCTTATGGGATCTGCGAGGATGATGAAGTGAAGGGAGATGGATCCCACCCTCGGAAGACATCATCAGATGCTAAAGGGAGGCCCAGAACCAGCATAAGACATTAGGCAACCTTCTCTAAACTACTGAAGAATCTTCTTGGGACCAGCTGCTTTCGTCTCTCCTTATTCCACTAACAACCTCTGGAGTCCATTCCCTATTTATCAAATCAACAAAGGCCCTACTGTTTCCTGATGTTCTGGATCCCTCAGAAAGTCTGTGCCCAGCTGGGGCTCCTGCTGAGAAAGTTCCGTTGTCAAGAACTTTTCTTGAGGTATAGGAAAAAGTCCATTGGCCCACTTTTCCGGAAAAGGAGCCACTGTACACAATCAGGGGAGAGTCATTAGAAGATGCTTATATTCGACATGCTGATAAATCTAGGCAGCCAACGTAATCAAGGAATGTAATTGAAAAAACAGGAACAGAGTGGGTTTAGGTCCGGGCTGTGTAATTCCCAGCTGTATGGCAGCAGACATGCTGTTTAACCTCTCAGAGCTTCAGCCTCTGCATTTACAAAGCAGGGTAACACAACTTACATCTCAGGGTTGTTGTGTGGATTAATGAGACAAATGTATGTAAAGTGCTTTTTCTGTAGTAGTTGCTCGCTGTATATGAAGAACATCTAATCTTATCCTCAATCCCGATAACAGCCTAGAATAGGGCAGTGAAGGGTTTAGAATTCTTATTCTTTTATTCATTTTGTGTTATCTTCTCTACTGTAACAGTTTCCTACATTTGTTATCACCCAAAAAGAAGAGAGCCCAGAGGTCAGCTTTTCCTTTGGCTGGTGTCGCTGGAGAGATCAGCTCATCTTATTCAGGGTTCCTGGTCCCACTCAACCTCTCTCATTGCTTTGGAAGGAGGTTTTTTTTTTTTTTTTTTTTTTTTTTAAAATCTGGTTTACAAAATAAAACATGTTTTTTGATAAAAAGTGTAGAAAATATAGATAAGAAAAATTCCTATAATCCAAGGAAAGAAAAACATTTTCCTGCACATCCTAATCTTGCAATGCATATAAATATAAAATATTTTTCCAGCATAATCATATTGTATGACCTATTTTGTAACTGTTTTCATTTCACATCTTATGAACAATTTTCATTCATTACACTTTCTTCTGCAGCACAATTTTTAATAATTATATAGTAGTCCATTGCGTGTATGTAATTATAATTTATTCATCTATCTACCATTCTTAAATATTTATGTACATTCTACAATAACTTTTTGGTGTTAAAAAGCAATGAATATCCTTAGGTCAAAATCTTTACCCACAGTCAGAATTATTTTTTTAAAATAAATTCCTGCAACAAAAATTGGTAGTTGAGGATTTATAAAAGTCCCATCCCTTCAATTGTCCCCAGCAAACAATAGAGAAACTAAAGCTCGTGTTAACACAGACAAGGGATTGTGGGGTGGCAGGGAGAACGTAGACCCTCTGCAGCCTGTGTGAGTTCTCCCACGTCCACAGATCCCAACCCAAGAGCCTGTGAGGTGGAAGCAGCATCTGTACTTCAGTATCGGCCTTTCCTCCCGGCACAGGGAAGGAATATGTATTTTCAGCAGCAGCCACCCAGCCTCTACCCAGAGAGGGTAAGGAGGACCTGGGTCTGCAGACAAGGGGCAGGAATGCTCTCTCTCCCAATGCACTTATTTCCTTGGACATTTGCTGGTGAAGGATGGGGAGCGCTTTCCTCCCAGAGTGCCCACGTGACAGAGTGCCCTGCTTGTCTTCCAGGTGGGATGGATAGCCGGGTCTCGGGCACGGCCAGTAATGGAGAGACAAAACCCGTGTACCCTGTCGTGGAAAAGGCAGAGGAAGATGGCACCCTGGAACGCGGGCACTGGAACAACAAGATGGAGTTTGTGCTGTCAGTGGCCGGGGAGATCATTGGCTTAGGCAACGTCTGGAGGTTTCCCTATCTCTGCTACAAAAACGGGGGAGGTAAGAGCCACTGCACCACCCACCAACCCTGGAAGGAGGTGTCCCCATCACCTGCGCTACTGCCCCTCAGAGCGGCCCCAGAGACACAGAGAGTGCTGGAGCTGGAAAGACCCTCCCTTAGAATTCAGTAAGGACACTGCAGGAGCCTGACACCTAGACACATGGCGACTCTCCCGGGGGTGCTCCATTTTAGCATGGCACCACGGAAATGGGAGTGCAGGCTCGGAACCAGATGGACCAGAGTTTGGATTCTGGCTCTGCCACTTACTCTCTGTGTAATCTGGGGCGCACTGCTCGAGTCCTCAGAGCCTCCACCGCTGCACCTGTAAAATGGAATAGTGATACCTGCAAGGTTGCTGTGAGGATTAGAGACAATGCATGCAAATGCTTAGCACATGGTAGCTATGTTGAAGATGATGGGAATGCCAAACGATCTGGAGATTCCTTAGCCATGGCTTTGTGTCTTCCTCTGTTCTTTTGGGTCCATGACATCCCCTAAGCCATTCGCTGTCCAACACCCACCAGTGTCGTAATCTTTGATTCTAGTGGCTCTTCCTTCATAAATTTCCCACTGAAAATGTGTGTGTGTGGGAAGCATGGACTCTAACTTCAGTTCTTTGCTGGCTTCTCATTCCCCTCCATTCTCACCTCTGGGGTCACTTACAGCAATGGTGGTCATTTCCTGCCCCTTTCAGGGAATCCCAGCTAGCCTTGGGAAGCCCCAGGGGGCCTTCTCAGGTAATGAAGGTTCTGGGTGAGCAGCGGCTTAGGAAGATTTCCTTGCTGATGGCTGGGCTCCCAGGTCTGGTTTTGAAGTGAGGCTGCAGTCGGAGCTGGAGGAAGGAGAAATGCAGAGGCAGGTGACAGGGGGATATGGTAAGGGGACTAGTAATTTTACTGGCCACAAGGAGAGTACCCTAATGCAACACCTACCATCTTGCAGGATGAGTAGGGGCCCCCAAAATACATCAAGTCAGTCTCAATAGTTTTTGGAGAGAGAGGAAACCTACAGCACAGAGTAGAGGTGGGAGGAATGGGGAAGAGCACAGAGTTGCTCTGAGCCCATAGTGTTATTCTCAGGATTGTGGCAACTGAGGGTTGACTGGCTCTGGGATTGGAGGCTAACTTGTATTTTTCCAGAGGGCTGGGGTGGGGGGCTGATATGGCTTTTCTGTCCAGGAATTTCTAGGCAGCAGCCTGAACTCACAGGACTTTGTTCAGTCTGCATTGTGAAGGAAGAAGGGAGGGATTTTCACTTTTGACCTAGCCCTGGACACCCCACATGCTTGTTTAGGAACTTAGGCCTGAGCACTTTCCCTTCAGAGAATTGGGTGGCAGGAAGGGGCTGGCCGAGGAAGGAGGAGGAGCCTGTGGCCTAAGGTGGGTGTTGAGACTCTCTGGAACCTAGTAGCCAGCTTAGCTCTTCACGTGGCAGCAAGCTTAGGCGGTGAGCAGCTTTCCCCAAGCCTCTCTGGAATTGGGTAAAGATTGGCTTGGGAATTAGCATAACCGGCATGAAGAGGTGGGAAAGAGTGATGGGTCTAGTGTGAGACCACATGGTGAAGAAGGGGAAGCAAAAGGCAGCAGTGAGGAGCAGCGGGGGGTGTGGGGCTCACTCTGCTAGGTTGTGGTTTGGCAGTGTTGGGGTCTGGGCTCTGCCTCAGGGCTCTGGGGTAAGTCTGTGCAAACCTGGGAGGAAATGCAGGCCCAGGAAGAAGAGTATCCAGGCTCCTGGTTTTTCACATGGTGCTTGCAGGGGAGGTGGAGGCAGAAGGGAGGCTGCTGTGGCGGCTCCCTCCTGGTTAGAGCCTGCCTTCCAGCACGCAGACCACCACGGACAGTGGAGACATTGCTCTTTATTGGCTCCTACGCCACCAGCCACAATCCCTTCCCTTGGTCAAGGGCAGGGCCTTAGGACCCTGTTCTCTTTCCCTGGTGAATGACGGCAGCTGGAGGGAAGAGTTCTGAGGGGCGTTGGAGCTAGAGGCCCATGCTTAGCTTTGCTGAAGGGCGTGAGTCATGGGGCCACCTGGTGAATTAGTGAAAAGGCACCTTTGCCAAGGTAAGGGGGACTAACCAAGGATGCACATGGTCATTAGAGGAACCTAGACATGCCTGACTTTCTGGTTTTGGGTGCTCCCAGTGGTTTAACTCCTCTGTCATCATTTAACTCCCCTCACCTCCCAAGCAGTACAAGCTCTTACAGAGAACGGGTCCGAGCACTTCTTGTCATCTCCTTATCTCTTTGTCAATAAGAGACTGTCTCTTAAAAAAAAAAATGTTTTAATCCTCATCTAAAGTAATTTTTTTTTTCCATTGATGTTTTTAGAGCAAGTGGAAGGGAGGGAGGGAGTGGGCAAAGAGAGAGAGAAAGAGAGACAGAAACAAAGAGACATTAATGTGAGACACATGGAGATTAGTTGCCTCTCACATGCCAGGGATTGAGCCTGCAACCCAAATAGGTGCTGGGGATAGACCTGCAACTCTCTCATGGGCAGGCCGACATGCTAACCACTGAGCTCCGGCCAGGACTATTTTGTTTTCTTTTAATTTTATGTTTATTATTGAGAGTACTAGAGGGGAAGTGTCCCTCAGCCTAGCCTGCCCCCTCTCACAGACCAGGAGCCCTCAGCAAGAGGCTGGCTGGCTTGCTTGAGGAGCTGCAGAGAGGGGAGTAATTAGAAGGTGAGGTCAGAGAATGAAGTGGCAGATTACGTAGGGCCTTGTCAGCTCTTGTAAGACTGGCTTTTCCTCAGGGGCATGGGGAGTCATAGCAGAGTTTTGAGCAGGACTGGCATGATCTTACATTTTATTTATTTACTCATTTATTTTTATTTATTTATTTTTAACATTTAAGAAACAATATTTTTTTTCTTCTTTAAAAAAATATATATTTTTATTGATTTCAGAGAGGAAGGGAGAGGGAAAGAGAGATAGAAGCATCAATGATGAGAGAGAATTATTGATTGGCTGCCTCCTGCATGTCCCCTTACTGAAGGGGATCAAGCCCCCAACCGAGGCATGTGCCCTTGGCCGGAATCAAACCTGGAACCCTTTAGGCCGCGGGCCAACGCTCTGTCCACTGAGCCAAACCAACTAGGGCATGATCTTACATTTTAAAATAATCTCTCTGGCTGCTTGTTGAGAACGAATTATAGGGAAGTAAGGGCAGAAGCAGACCGCTTTCAGTCAGAAGGCCCATGTTCTGAGACACTCAGGGTTTAGGGATTTGAGAAAAGCCAACAAAAGAGACAGAGGAGAATCCAGCAAAGGAGGAGGAAAACCTAGAAAATGAAGTGTTTTGGAGGCAAGTAAAGCAATGCTCGCAGGGAGGAGGGAGAGAGAACTAACCAGATGCCGCAGATGTTTAAGCTGAGAAATGAGAATCGATGACTAGATTTAGCTGTGTGACTTTGTAAGAAGAGTTACAGTGGAGTGTGGAGCAAAGACTGATTTAAGATCGTGGAAGAGAGAAGAACTGGAAGTAGGAAGTAGGGTTATTTAGGCAAAACTCAGAAGTAGGTGAAGTTTGTCTCTTCTAGATAGTCTTCCTCCCGGGGGACGTAAGCCAGTCTGAGTGCTGTGCTATGTAGCGGTAACTGTGTGCACTGCGTGCCCAGCGGTGGTGGGGACGGGTGATGACTGACGAAGTTGCCGTGAAGCTGCACATTTATATTATTTTTCTTGCTTTCCACCCTCCACTCCCTGGAGGGAAAAGCAAACATCATCTTCCACCAAGGCCTGTCCCCCTATATCTCTCCCCTATATCTCTGGCCATCGGGATGCGGAGACTGGATCGCCTGAGGCCCACTGTGAGGAAGGTGGTAGGAGCGGGTTTAGGCAACACAATTTAAATCTGCCAGGAGGGAATTTAAATTACTTGCCTGCCAATCTCAGTTCAGAAAAAAGCAAATCATCTGCCAATAATTTTATACTGAATTTCTTGGTCCAGGTTGCTAAAAACCAGTGGCAGAGGTTACCTGTACTGAGAATCTTTTGTTTTTGCAAGTCGTAGACCGCCAGCTGGAGACCACCTCAGGTTAGGACAGGTGCTCCCCTCTTCCTTGCCCCACTTCCCACCCTTCCCTCTCATCTTCAGTCCCTGACACCCAGGGTCTGGGTGCTTCGGAACATGGGCCAATCAGCAGGAACCTCTCTAGCTCCTTGGATCCTGGCTGCCAGCTGACTGAGTTCTTCAACACCCAGAATGGACCACAGCTGGACCTCTCAGAACTAGGGCTTTTGAGGGTAAGGAATGTGGGGGGAAGTGCAGCAACAGAGTAAACCTCAGCTCTAACCGGAGGGAGAGAGAGCCTAGGGCCACCCCTGTAAAGGGGACTGAATGACACCCGGCATCAGGGGACACTCTGGCCCTTGATGCTGTTTGTAGATGCTAAAGAACAAAGAGAAGCAAGGAGCACGTTTCTTTCTGTAAGAGTAATAGCAGCATGTGACAATTTGGTGCCCCTTTGAGTTAATTACTAACGCTCAGTATTGGACAGACCATTGTAGATTACAGCATGAATGATGTATGCTCATTGTTGTGCTGCTCATGTGGACTTATCATCATGTGGACTATCATCAGTTTATGTCTTTACAAATGTCACCTGGAACATGACAGGCAGCACTACCTAATGTGCTTTTGAGAAGGGTGGCCAGCAGAATGGTACCTTTCTAGATGGGCATGTGGTCTCTCCCATCCCATGGGGAGAGTGCCAGAGCCTTTTAGAATGTGGAGAAGGAGATGAACATGGTGGATATGGGGAGCAGCAGGTAGTGGTGAATGCCAACCTCTATCTCCAGTACTAACTCCATCTTTCAGTGGCGGGGCTTGGGAGAAAGCCAGCGTGACTCCAAGGACTGCATGGTCTGCATTTGGGTCCCTCTTGGGCCCCATCCTGCCCCTCAGTCCTTCCCCACTTTCAGGGCCAGTGGCTTTGTGTGGTAGGTGTGACCTTGTCCCAGGTGCTCAGGAGGCAGAGGAGAAGGGGAGCAGAACC